TGGCAGACAAACTCATCAAGCGTCTTTGCCAAGGTGACGAAAAGCGCTTGTCAGAAGCCAGGTGTGACTAAATTGAGTTTCGGAGTGACCTCACCTGGCGCGTTGAGTCACACTCGCCATAGGCTCCATGACATGTTCGAGACTAGAAGCAAAACATGTCATGGCAAACCCGGCACACCGTTTGCAGTGATCGAACGCATTTGCAGGTTGGAAACGATCAAGACGCTCCTTGACTTGCCAGTTGCCGGAGGGTTGGCTGCGGAAACGCTTTTCAGGTTCCTGTTTGGGAGTGTGAAACCTAGCTGGGCAGACACCCCTGCATGTTCAGTCAGATACTGTACTTGCTTGCACTTGTTTCCACCTACCTGTGACGTTGGTATGTGGGGCTTAGCTTGGCATTTTGCAGCTAGCTAAGCGGTTTAGAGGCGCCGTCGACGCCGCTGGTTACCAAGTGGTGCCGACGGTGCCAAGGCATCACATCGTTCCCGTGGACTTGAACTGCTTCCTGGTCCGGGCAACATGGCGGCAATGCTTCGTCAAGCTAGTAACAAGTGCATCGCTACTAGTAACAAGTGCCTTACTAGTAGTAACAAGAAGCGAACGTAGAAACAAGTGCCTTACTACCTGGTGTGTCACGAATCGTGTCAGTTTGGTGTCGGACGGATGTCAGACTGGGGATGTCATTCAGTTTCCAAACACAATTGTGCGCAGAATCAAGGTCCTCCCTCCATTCCCGGAGCTCAATTCGTTTCAAGGTGATTCCAGCCCAGCTCATTTCACAGATCTCAGGTGGAGGAAGGCCTTGCCCGTGCCCATGACCTGTTGGCGCTACTTGGCAAGCCGTGTGGCCACACCATGGCCGAGCCATCGGCGTGGATCCAGCATGAGGCAACAGGATTTGGGGATGCCCTCCAAGTCGGGACATGAACTGAAACTGATGGACTTCAGTTCTAGCCAAAACACATCAAGGAACGAGAGCGGCGCCCAGAAGTACCGGGATGCGGCGGCCAAAAGGAAGAAAGACATCGACACGTGGCTTTTGAAGCATGCGGGGTGGGTTCATGTGGGTTCCTGGTAGTCCGGGTACGAGACCGGAAGCAGACATAACAAGGCTCACCATGATGATTACTGCTCGGTATGACGTAGCTGAAAGAACTAAGAACCATTTAGGTTTGGGATGGGGTGGGCTCCGACAAGCATAATCAAATCACTTAGATCATTGGATTTGATTGACCATTTCACCCAGGAGGAGGTGCTTTGGAATGATGTCACGAAGTGCTATCACGACTACCGACTGGACAAGGGCCGCTTCTCGAAGGCTCGGCTGGTTATATAAGTCCGGGATCGTGCAACTTTAGCCCGGTACTTGAAGTGCTTCTCACACTGTACCCTCCGAGGGCATTGGCTAGGCTAAGAAGGGTCTGGGGCCATAGCCCGGTTACCTCACGGACTTTGTACAGGCGTCAGCCTTTTGCAAGTGCGACTCGACCAGGGCAAGCTCGACATGTGGTCCGTTAGTGAACAGGGCGAGAAAGTAACTTAAGTTATTAAGGCATCCCGCAATCTATCGGGTTCAATCTATCGGCTTCTTTGTTTCAATGCTGCAGATAGCAAGTCACCCTGCCTACGTCACCCTCCGATCATTCGGCGTTGATTGGAGGTGATTGCCCTCTCCAACTGGGCGGCACCGCTCTGGGCAGGGCTTCAGGGTCATGAGGTGCAGTTTTGGACGCAGCGAGCGGTGCAGAGTCCAACGGCAGCGTAGGGTTGCTCCAGCTTGATGTCACTAGCAACTGATATGAGCAACAACGGTATATCTTATATACTAGTAGCGTCCTTGTTACTACTAGTAAGGCACTTGTTACTAGAAGCGATGCACTTGTTCCTAGTAGCATCCAATATATATATATATATATGAGCAACCACTTTTATTTGGGCTTTACTAAAGTAGTCTACGGCATGCTCTAGATGCTTGTCTACCATTGTCTACCATCAGCATTCGCAAGCGATACTTTTGCTTGATGTCACTAAAGTAGTTTGAACGAGATACTGTGATTTGCTACTAAAGTAGTCTGAACGAGATACTGTGACATGACCTCCTGCTTAAGTAGTCTAAACGAGATAGGGCCCCACATAAGAGATAGTGTTTTTGAGCTACTCCGCTGGGAAAATTGATGAGGTGACTTTTTTTTTATTGCGCCAGGTTTAGGTATCAGGGGCATTCAGGTGTGTTGCGCCATCTATGCGCCCCGTGGCTTAAAAAACAGGAAGATTCTGCATGATTTTGTGCGCTATTTTGCAGAAAATAGCGGAGATTGGGACCGCTCCATCTATTGCCCCACCGCAAAAGGACATCAAAAGGAAATGAATAAGTTCAAGAGGCAAGAGGAAATCAAGAAGAGATATGAGGAAATCACTATTGGTACCGGGCCACACATTTTTTGCTCAAAGGTCTCTTCTTCACATTATAGCCAGATTGCAGCCGGCAGGCCAAATGTACAGAACTTGGACCATCTATAGGCCCCAAACGTTTTTTGGGAAATAGGGAAAACTAGTATCCGCACAGACACCCCAAATTTTTTTTTCTGCAATCCAAAGACCAGTTGCGCCATCTATGACGGCCAAATAGCGAGAAAAAGGAGTTACATGGCGCGGCTGTTCCCGCTATTTATTTTTTTGAGTTGACCGGTGTAAATAAAATGTGTATGTGCATATTTGTATGCGCCTTTGGAATGCTATGTATCACCCCTTTGCCACTCCGTGGGCAAAAGATATTGCATCATTGGTGGAAGGGACTCAGTGGACACTTGTCAAGAGCTCGACTCCATTGGAGTGATTGAAACTCAGGCGTAGCTTCCTTGAACCTCTTGAAAATGGCATACATGGGGGAGCTTTCCCTAACAATCCCTAACATGACGATGACTAGCCCCTATAAATCGTGCCCGAAAAGGGGCATGAAATCCCAAGATGATGTACACCAGTCATCTAATCCCGTCACTAGTAGCAGGGACGTCTCTATCCACCAGGACCTGCCTGGACCTACCACCCTCCAGGTGGAAGCCTTCCTCACCAGCCTTCATGCCAGCGGTTTGCTCCAGACCGGTGGCGCGGCCACCACAGCTGTGGTCACTGATGGCCGAACACAGATGCTTGGCGCAGGGGGCCAGTTGATGTCGGCGGTTTGGGGTGATACGGTGACGCTCGTCGGGATTGTCCCAAGAAAAAGAGACAGTGACTCTTTGGTGTGATTGGATGTGTCGACCGTTTGGGGAAGACGTTCATGTGGACCTCTCGTGTGCCGAATTCCAGTGAAATGTTGAAGAGAACAGTTGCAATTAGGTGGGATGCGCCAAATGCATGGCCACCACTGCAGCACATGCTGATTGAAGGCTGGGAGCACTGCTGCAAGTTCCCTGCAATTCTGTGGAGCACTGCTCACAAACTGGAATGTTTCATCACCGAAGCAACTCTTGACAGATTGATCACTCTCTCCAAGTTGTTCCTGACCCTTTCTATGTTTGTGCCTTGTTGAGTTTCGAGTCATCACATGTCCATCCACAGTTGAGGCACCACCTGTTGAGAGATCTCCGCGCGCTGCAGGCTTGGAGCGCTTGGGCAGCGTCGCCGCAAAGGACTTGGCACAAGAGATGACAGAGCGATGGCTGCAGAGCTGCCAGATGGCCTGGGAGAAGTCAGGTAGCTTGGTAAAGCTTGGTGTTCTCGGCGACGAGTGAGGGGTTAAAATCTGAGAGAGATCGACTGGTTCGTTGCAAGAAGAGATCAAAGATACTTGAAATTGTGGTCCCTGTGGTTCTGATACTATTTTGACTGACAGGGGATGCCTCATGCAGATTCCTTTTGAATTGTTGGACTAAAGCCATGACAGTGCTTGACTCACCCATGAGGCTTTATGTACGAGAAGTACAATGCTTCGAAGCCAGGAGAAGGTGGTGGAGGTGGTGAATACGAGCCACAGGCGCCTGCTTAGCCGCGCCAGAGAATAATAAAGCGGGGAAGGGTGCTGGCCAGAGGACCTACGAGATCCTACGAGTGAATAATACATGGCTTGCAGGCCGCAATGTGTCAGCTCACAAGGAGGACTGTGAGGACTGCACCCGGGCCTTCTTCTATTCGCAGGTCGGCTTCGGTTGGAGCAACGGTGTTGCCTTGGTGCTGTTGGCGAAGCACTCAGGCTGCCAAGAAGAGACAAGGCGTGTGACAGAGTGCGCGTGTTGTGTAAATGCGTGCTTTGGCCAGGCCAAAGGATGCAAAAACCATTGGCAGAAGCCAGCACAAACCCATAGTCACACACACACATACGTATTTCTGGCCTGCTATGGATGTCGACAATTTGCTTCAGGCATCTAGGAGTCAGTCACGCACTGGGCTTCTCGGTAGTTTAGCCTGTCCTGAGGAGGTGCACCCTGAGCTGACCGAACCGCCAAGCTGAGTCCGCCTCCGCCACGCTTTCGTTTCGCCACTGCGGGTGGAGTTCAGTAGCCCTGAGCTTGATCGAACATCGGGGCCGAAGTTGGTGGCGAAAGGTGCCAACTGTGCATCGGGGCGTCCGCCTCCATGAAGTCTTTTTAACCACCCCAAAACACGACAACTTTGCAAGGCATGAGAGGCCACAGACCTCCACCTAGGTCTCTAGCTTCGTGCGATTTGCAGCTTGGAAACGGGCCACCCTCCCAAAGAACCAGACATGGAGAATTGATGAGAATTGCGGATAATCGAGGACCAAATTACAACAAAGTACAACTGGCCACACTCGCTGAAGTCCTTCTGAAGGACCCTTTAGCATTTTTAGCATCACACGTTGCTGCGGTACAGTGTGAGCGATGATGAAGCACATTTGAAGCTCAAAAGACGTGCTGATCCATTCGCTTCATGCTTGGACCACTGCATCTCTCGAACCCTCTCGAAGGCAAGACGAGAGATAGACTTGCTTTCAGTTTTGATGCGCAACTTTCTGTTTCTGGGACGACCGCCGGGCCAAGGCCAAGTGGCAGAAGGCCTGGAAGGAGGCAACCGCAGGCGAAGCGGGCGTTCAACAAGCAATTTGAAGAAGTTCCTCCGACAGGAGGTTGATGGAGGTTGGGGCCTGATCCAATCCACATTCTTTGAGCCTTCAGCATTGGCTCCTATATAATTCGCGCCCTCTCTCTCTCTATATATACACATATACACACACTGACACAATATATATATATATATACAGTCATTAATTAAATTATGACATTTGGAGATCTGATATGGTACGTGCGTGGGGGTGCCTTTTCAATGTACTGTACTTTGGATAATGGCTCAACATGTTCTTGCAGGCCCCACCTTCCGGCTTGGCGCAGGCACCGTCATGTCCGTGGGGAGAGGTATATGAATTATAAAGGGCACAAGCTTCAGAGACCATTTCCGGCTGGATGCTTTGCAACAAGCTCAGTCCCAAATTCTTGACCACGCCCTGTTTGTGGTGGCTACGAGTTACTGCTTCTCGTCACCCGCAGGCCATGCCCTTCGCTTGGCGCTGGCGCGCCGGAGCCTCAGTAGACCGCTGACCTTGGCTTGTTGAAGCTTGGCAAGTTGTAGCCAAAGGACCCCAAGACTAGTGTAGACTTTCAATGACTTAAACAAGCAACCTGCAGGCCATCTATGCAAAGCCCATGCCATGTAGGCCCATCCATTCATGGCCAAAGCTGCTTCGCCCATTGAGGGCGCTCCATGCGTTGCACATCTTCTGCCTTCAGTGTTTGAGGTGAACTCATGGACGAGGCGGTGTCACAAGAGCAGTGGTCAGAAGCGCTGGCCAGGGGCTCCAGAATGGTGCAGACCGCTTTTGGATAGGTGCCAGCTTGGATCTGAGATGTGCTCAGTAGATGGATCTTGGCCAAGGCTTGTTGACCAAATGGGGCCGTGCGAGGGCTTTTCAGCTCCACACCACTTGACCGTGAGGCGTTTGCCCGGGAGGTGTGCTCCTGCCACCAGCTGGCAAGCATCCAAGTGCTGCTCAGTGCCCGTCAGGGGTGAGACACGCACACACCGCAAACAGTGCGACACACACACACACACAAGCACATATACGCATTGCTCAGATCTACCCCAGTGGCTGGCCAGTGGTTTCGCTGGGCTCAATCCTCAGATTGCTCAAGACAGACGAGATGGATGATGTCACCATTCGGTGTGGACGAGGTTGGGCACGATTGGCGAAGCTGGAGCTCTACCATGGCCATTTCGACGGATCCTCAGATACCAGAAGCAGAGAAGATCTGGGATTTGCGGAGAATGTGATGTGATGCACAATTTGTTTTATGACCTTCCCTCATGACCATCCCTCCTCATCGAGCATCGCTGGTCTTCGAAGTTTTCTCGATCGCTTCCCGAAGACCGACGGATCGTTGCAACGGTTTTTTTTTGCGTAGGAACAAGTGCCACGCTAGTAGTAACAGGTGCCTTACTAGTAGTAACAAGAAGCTACTAGGGGCTCCTGGCCTTACTACTAGGAGCAAGGACGCTATTTGGGGCAAAGGGTTCGAAGCTGATGCGCTGCAGGATGCCACGATGCGGTGTTGCCAGGAGGCGCTCTCAGGCGGCTGCACCGGCTGGCATTGAACCTTGCCTCATTTTGCACCAAGTGGCGCACAGGGAGTGGGGGTGGTTGTTTACATGGTACCATGTTGGATGTTGATACTTAAGTCAAGGTATGTGTGTGACGTGTTTTTCCGATGCAGCTTTTGCTCAAGCTGAACGCTTATTAAAATTATGAAGATAACAATGGCCTGCACTGCAGAAAGTTTAACAACATGTTTGGACAGTACCTGTTACCTAAAGCTGGAGTAAAGAACAGAATCCAATCCAACAGTATCGTTTTGTCAACCATTCTGACAGTGGTTGGCCTGTCATGACGGAATTGAGCCTTGGAGCACTATTGAGGGCTTGCTGGGTTTGCTTGATGCAAGGTTGTCATGCTTATGTAAGCCAGGGCAAGCCAAGCAAAAGTTATATAGTTGTTAGAAAGCATCATGGCTAGCAATGGCACACTGTTTGCATATGAAGGCTTCTTTTGCACAGCTTGCGACCTTGCTACGAGGAAGATCACTGCTAAGAAGGGCACCGGCTTTTACATCCGCGCTGCCGCCACCTTTTTGCGTGGCACGGACGAGAAGCCACCCGTACCGTCAGTGATCCTGAGCGGTGGCTTGGCAGCGCTTTTGGAGGATTTCTTCCAAGACATTAGCAGTAGGGTCAGTAGGGCCGGAATGGTAGTTTCGCTCAGTAGTACATTTACATTAGTGTCTATAGTTCAACTCTATTCGATCTCTCAATTGTCCTTCCTCGTTTGTCGATTTGCCGGAATGCCACCTTATCTTATCGACATACCTGATCACACCTCATTGCCAGTTGTTTCTTGTTCCTAATTAGTACCAAGGCCAGGAGCCCCAAGTAGCGTCCATGCTCCTCGTAGCGATGCTATAGTCCTGGTCCAGGGTGCTGTCCAAATGTTTTGAGGTGCTGCCCGGTGCTTGTTGCTGCATTCTTCATGGGAATGCAATTTGCCCCGGGGAACACTGAGGCACAGGCTCTGCTACCACCACCGTGGTCGAGACAGCTCATGCCATTCAAAAGCAGGGCTTGGCCAAAATCACTCGAGTGGAGACGGGATATCCGACCACTGGTGGTCAATCTACGGCCCGATTAGCCGTGACGCTCACCGCTGATTGGCCCTTCCCAGATCCCAGCAGCTACTGCCACTTGTCCTCCAGGTCCGGAAAGAAGGGCGAGCCCAAAGACCCACGGTGAGGACGAATGAAAAAGCAAGTGATCGAGAGGGCCCTGAATCTGAAACCTTTGGTGAAACAGTCCTCTCGGGCCTTGAGGGCTTTGGCAAGGAGGTCGGTGGATGTGGTCGTTGGATGGATGAACTCTAGACTGTCTAGACTCTAAACTGGCTAGTGTCATTTCAGGCTTTCCAGATCCTTCATGCGAGGCAACTTCGATGAAGTTCGGGTAGAAAGCTATGCCTTAGATCTGGAGATGCTCGCATGCAGTGGGGCGTGGTTCGGAAAGGGAGTGTGGGGATGAACGTGAGATGTCGGTGTTTGCTGACTTTGGTGTGTAGAGTGTGTAGAGATGAAAAAGCAGCAAGTCCATGGTCAATCCACTGTCATGATGCCCAGGATCAACTTTGAGAAAGGCATTTTGCAGGGCTCCATCGAGCTTGAGCTCTTAGCCATTCAGGACGAGAAACAGAGATTGTTCAGTGAGCTGGTGACGAAGGGACTGCCCCACTGCAGAGGTTGCTCGAACCCCCCTCCAAACCATGAAGTTTATGTTTTTTTTGGGTGTGTGTATATTTTAGGACAGCTCACGTCCGCAAGTCAAGATCTGTGCACAGTTGGCACCAGCCAACAAGTAAGTGGTGCACTGTTACCGCAGATCGAGGATGTACTGATGTGATTGCTCATGCTCAGAAAGAGAGATACGATGGCGCGACTCTTCTGAAACCCGACCATTTTGCTCAAAGTCTGGAGCACTGCTGGCGGAAGCAACCAAACAATCGTGTGCATGAGAATGAGCAGCTGTTCGATCAGCCAGTCAAGGCCCAGCTCCCGCCCAGTGATTCCGAGCGACTGGGCCAAGCAGGTGCCTTTTGACCACATTGAGGAGGGGGTGTTGAACATGGCAGCTTTCGTGACCGACCTTCAAGTGATCAATATGGCTACGGGTCAAAACCGGGAGACATTGGTTGACCCATCAAAATGAAGAGAACGGACTACCTGGGAGGTCAACCCAGAGTTTTGAAGCTCCAGGTTTGGACCCACACCCTGGAACCGGCTGCTGGATGCAATGGCGATAGAGAGGGCCACGAAGTGTTGCACAACAGGCTCACAGACCTCGGCCTTTATGAGGCAGTTCCGTACTGTTCCACGGCGCGCAAGAAGGAACTGGTAGTATCTGGTGGTGACATATATATTTAGTGCAGATGGAGCCCTGCAATGCCTGCACTGCCAGCAGACCAAGATGTCCCAATCGACAGAGCAATTGGACTGGCTGGTCGTAAAGTTCTTGAGAATGAGTTTGGCAAGAATGGCGGAGTGACCTACAGCTGTATAGCACAGCTGTGGAAAAGCAACATTTGAATCTGGGTGCCCAAAGGCATGAGCTGGTAGCCACCCTGCATTATACCCAGGCCTTGCCATACGTCGGCTTGAGACTGCACTGGAGAGAGATGTTCCAATCATCGCCCAAACAAGTCGTCCAGCCGAGCTGTTGACCACAAAATAACCCTTTACCAGAGAGTCCGGATCTAGTTGCTTCTTGCTCCTAGTAGAAAGGCACTTGTTACTAGTAGCGATGCACTTGTTACTAGTAGCTTCTTGTTACTACTAGTAACATCTAGTAACTATATATAGTTTCTTTTCAGATGTCATGACTCTCACAGGAGCCGAGTTTGAGTGCCTCTACCTCGGCCCTAATATACCCCATGACGTCCCACCTGGTGACCGACCACAAAACATGCATTCTGCATTCTCCTTTTCCATGCGTCCCCACTCATTCGTGAAAACCTCCCGAAAGAACTTTGGACCCGTGCAGGGTTGGCATGTGGCACAGCCCTGGGGGAGGGTTTAGACTTGTCCTTGGGACGACCACACGACACCGTAGCTACCAGTGACCATCAAACTTCGTCCACCGGTCCCCTATCCCAGGCCACTGCGCTCATCATGTCACCCAATGTGTCAGGAGAGCAGCCGGTTGGTGTTGGACACCCGTAGCCTAAGCATCAGCAGAGTGACCGCTGACGGGGCCAGCGCTAGCTTTCAGTTGGGAAGTGCAGGCTGGGGCCATGGGACTATTGGTCCTATGATGTGTGACAGATCGTCCTCAGTAACTCCAATGAGGGCGAGCGTTCCCCATGTTTGATGAGTTTAGTTGGGCCACGGGCTGTGGCCCGCGCCTCTGTGTGATGTGCTTGCAGAAAGCTGCCTCACTGATGTTTGGAACCCAGCTTCCAGCAGAGAAATGTGTCAAAATGCGTTTAAATAATGACTGAGCCCTGGAACCTGAAGCCTAACTCCACAGTAGGTTTGTCCCTATGATATACATATGGGTCTAGGACAAGCAACCGCTAGCTAAACAAAAAAACCGCTACCGGACCCGGACTGGACCGGACCGCCGCCCGAAGCCTTGCCAGGCCGAAAGTCTGAAGCACTGGGGGAAGCTTTAGAGATAGAACTGCCGAAGACGCTCAGAGGCACTGCAGGTGCGAAGGCACTGCAGGTGCGAAGCATCTCCAAGAAACACTTTTTGTTTTGTTTTTTTTTGGGGGGTGGGGGGCGCGCCTTGGGGATTCTCCCAAGCTTCTCACGGCTCATGAGTTAGTAGGCGCACTCGAAAGCCCAAGGACGATGTAGAGAGGGCTGCAGCCGAGGATATCGGGAGAAGAAGCATGAAAGAAAGAGTAAAAGACAACAAAATAGTCATCCCTCCAACCTCGCCATGAACAGTGGGAGCAAGGGGTTTGCACTGGGCATGGCTGCTTATCATACATGCCGACTCTAATAATAAATCTTTTTAAAATTGGAGTGGCTTTTGTATCCGTCGGCCTGCCAGATCAACAAGTGTCATGACTTAGTGCGCCATACTTCTCAACAATACCATTTTGCAAGTTAACATCGCGAAAGTATCGCGAAAGACATGGTTGAAAGGGGTTGCCCGGCAGATGCCATAGGAAGCTGTCACCTGGCGAGAAGGCCAAAGTGCACATCGAGTATGCCACAGCTCCAGACACTTGGACCGGAAGCAGTTACTCAGGTAGCCTCCCTATGTTCGTCCGTTGGATGCGGATAGATATGACGCGCTTTGTGGTGTCTTTACAATGTTGGGAAGGTGTTGGTGCTTTCTGTAATACATGTCATTTGTCTCTGTCATACCAGCTGCTTCAGGATGCGGTGGCAATACAGATCCTGTCTCCAGAGCCTCGCCTCGCAAGAAACCATTTAGAGTTGTCTTGTTTTCAGCCATGTCGTCGGGGAATTCCAACAAAATGCCTTTGTTAAGTCCTGGCCTTGCAACTTCAAAACAAGCCGACCGTGTTCCCGAAGTGCCGACGAGGAGCAGACACAAGGAAAGAAGCACCCATATCTCTTCACGCAGTGCCAAGCCATTCATGCACGGTGCCTGATGCCTTGCCAGGACACACCAGGCCAGGTTCTATTGGCTTCAGATGGTTGTGACACCAGATGGTTTAAAATGTCCACTTATTGAGGGTGCTTTGCCATGCGCTTGGTGGCCCGCTGCCGCGTATGTCCCAGGCGTCAAGAGCAAGTACACCGCAAAAATGACGGCACCGTCGCCTCTCACTGTGCTGATGTCTGCAGTTCCGGAAGGGGAGCCCAAGGAAGTGGATGGCAAACGCTGCTTCTACTTCACGCAGACGCCTGTCGAAGCCACGATTGGGTATGATTTGGTCAGATCAGGGCTTTACTTGTTTTGAGCCAGCCTAATGCGCACTCAGGATTAAGTAACCTCCCCTTATTAATCAAGCCCAGCTGCAGCCTCCAATACTAAACTGATTTAAAACCGGATTTT